ACACGCGCCAGTGCCGAGAGGCTGCTTGGAACAGCCAGGCTCACGCCCCGCGCGCGAAACCAGGGGTTTATCCCTTTGCTTTCACACAAAATACCAGCTTAACAACAGGTATGCGCTGAGGTGACGTGGGTGGCCTTTGAGCGCATGTGGATTTCCACAGAAATCAAATATAAGCCTGAGGAAACACTTATCTTAGGTTGTTCACTTGTTCAGGGGCTGGAAATTACATGGAATTCTTATCTGATATTTTCCTAACAGGCAGCTCTTACTGTATTCCCAGGGCAGCAAGAAAAAAGCCGCCTCAGAAGAGCACTGCCAAATGTAATTGCTCAGCCCCTGGGGCTCCAAGGCATGTTCTGCTTCCCACCTCTTTGTTCCAGGGTGGCCCCTCCTGCCTTCCCCTCTGTTAACTCCTCACGCTCAGCTCCCTGGCACCCCAGCGGGGGCTTCTCCGTGCTGGAGGGGGCTTCTGCTTGCCTCCCTCCGCTAGCCTGGGAGGAGGGACTTGCCTCCTCTCTTGCCTGCTTTGAGGTGTACCGTGCGGCAGGAGCTGGAGCCAGACGGAGGTATTTCACCCAACCGCTAGCTCCGCTTCTCGCCCACGCTCCAGGACATGGCAGTGTCCGGTGTGCCAAAGGGTAACTTGTATAATCATGGGAACTGCAGAAGACATTGCTCAATTTTCTGCGATAAAACTGTTGCTGCAAAACAGCCTGGAGGCAGATAGAAGCTTAATCAAACAAAGGACCTTGATGCATTGATTAAGCAAGTCCTTCTGTTCCCAGTCACATGTAAAATACGGTCCCAGCTATGTGGGATCATTCCTACCATTAAAGCGAACCCACCAGCCCCTTGATGCTTCTGCAGAGCAAAGGGAAAGCGGCTTAGGTGCGTCATCAAGGATCTGAGGGAAAGTCCCAACAGACTGAGGGTAAACAGAGAGTGGGATCACCTTGCTGTGTCGGTGAGGAGGTAACTTAGCTCCTCTAAAGCCAAGAAAACCACACTCTCGGGGATACTGCTGTGCCTCCCTTGACTCTCAGACAGCAGCCTTGAGTGCCGTTTCCCACGGCACCGTTTCCACGTTGTTTTCAGCTGCAGGAGGACCGAAATTCTGTGAACGCCAGTAGGCTGAATGAAGCGGCGAGGGTGCAACGCCAGCGTGGATTTAGGGTGCTGCACTTCGTTAGCTCTGGGTTTTTTAAGAGTCAGAAAGCCTCGTAAAGGTGTTGCCCAGCTAGCTATGACCCCAGCGTATGTGTACATTTGAAACTGTATTTCCAGTCAGATGCGTAAACTGCGATTGCAAAACCTACGTGCAGACCAGCGAGACTGGAGTCAGCGTTTGTTCGTGGCCGGACGTGCTGCCAACCAGAACACGCTCGCTCGACTTTCCGGGGGCGTCAACTGGCCCCAAAGTGCCTCTAAACTGGTGCTTCAGACCCGGCCACGCGCCCCAGCTGGCTGCAGTCACGCCGGTGGAAGGGCTTGTGGCTTCTGGCTGCCAAGGGACCTGGCCCCTTGCCGACTGCGGGCTCAGCTGCTCGCTCAGGGGGTACCTGACCCGCTCAGCCAACACGAGATGGCCTGGCGAGAGCCTGCGGTGTTTCCTTGGGCCTTGGCCAACGTGGGATAGAAAGGTTCAAAGGAGAAGTGAGCTCGCTGTTCAGAAGTGGTTATAATCTCTGTCGGGGGAGAGAGAGAGAGAGAAGCGGGGGGTGAGGGGGATGGGAGCAGCGGAGGGCAGGCTGGCACAAGGGTGTCCAGAGCGGTGGTGTCTCAGGTGTGGGATGAAACCACCCTCGGGTCTACCTCAGTTCTTGAGGAGGGAGAAGAGGCGGTTGGTCTGCTGCATGCTCTAAATCCCACAGAAGCGATTGGGGTGCTCAGTTGCCCTCACAAGCTGTGCCAGCAGCCAGGGGTGTAGGTACGACCCAGTCAGAGCTGCCCCGAAATGGGAAAGAGGCAGCTGTGGTGGCCACGTGTCGTTGCTGGTTCTCCCACACGTGGGTCCAGGCTCATTTGGAACAATGAGCTTGAACAGAAAAATCATCAGCTCCGTGATGTATTGTCCATGGAAGGGTACACAAAGTGGGAAAGAACAGCTGCTGATGGCAAAAGTTACAGCTCTGCGCATTATTTCTTCCAAATGGAGTTTGAAAGCAGTGAGTTTCAAACCCCAATAGTAACGATACAAAGGGTGGTGGGTTTTTTTTTTGTTGTTAAAATGCCTGGTGTGGACCAAATTCAGAGCTCCCAATAGCACTGCTGGCAGTTTCTTTGTCCCGCTTCCCTTCCATCTGCCAGCTGCCCTGTTCCGCTATGCAGCGGTGAATGGTTTGGCAGGAATTGACCTGGGAAAGACAAAAGGTGACAATGATTTGAGGAGATCACCGAGCGATTTGGAGGGAAAGCATTCCTAGTTTACAGGAGGAGGGTGTGGGTCCGGCGGAGCTTGGGCTGCTGGCTCGCTTGTCTGCAGAAGCCACGAGCTTTTCTCTGGACGTGCCATAAGGTCCACTGCCTTGCTCTGACTGCCTAGAGGGAAGGACAGGGGCTACCAGAGGTGCCTAGGGTCAAACGTGGGAGAGTGGAGAACTGGGCGCTGTTGTGTAGGCAGAAAGTAATTGATGTTTTGTGGGTAAATTGTTGCCTCTTACGGTGTTTTGAAACGATACGAGGTCATCAACAGAATGTGAAAATCTGGGTTTTCGTGTATGATATTATGTGTGTGTGTGTGTATATGTGTGTGTTTATCCGTAGAGAGAGCAAATACATATGTGCCTGGCGCACATCTACTGCTACACATCAGCGGATAATGGGTGTACAAGAAAATATGGATGTGATTTCAGAGTGCTCACGGCTCAGTCTTAGTGAGTGAGTGGAATTCGAGGTCACCCTGTGCTTTACAAAGTGACCTCAGCATCTTGCAAAACCGAGCTTCTGTGAAGAAAATCGTTTTGTTTGCTATTTGAATCATCAAGAAGAGCTTTTGGGTTGATTCTACTCATAAGTGAACAGGAAGAGTACATAATGAAATAAGAAAGAATAGTTTTCAGGGAAAAAAAAAAAAAGTGTGCATTTCAGAATAAAAGCAAGTCAATGCTATGGTCATAGTGTTTGCATTATCAAAATTGATTAAGACAACGGTTTGTCCCTGAAGAAATGGTTAAGCTAATACGTTAGAATTACTCAGGCTTTCAGATTTTTCCTCTTCCTTGCTTTGCATTCCCTTTATGAGTATCCTGCTAGTTGTCTTTTCTGAGAATTACCTGCAGGAAATAACATTGCCTTTGCGGTGTCTCAGAATAACTGATAGAGAGCAAGGAGCTGGGGCTTTAGGGGTGTCAGGGACGAGGAAAATATAAAACCAAAATGAAGCTGAACGCTGTGATAAACTAGTGTGTATCGTAATTAAAACCAGATATTGCACATTTAGTGTAGATTATTTCTGTCTCATCTGATTTTGCATAGGTTCTTCATCATCCCTCTTATTTCATTTGCTTTCTCCTTTTCTTTCTAGTACCCCGAGCTGATGGTTGCATCTTATAACAACAACGAAGACGCTCCACATGAGCCTGATGGGGTAGCCCTGGTATGGAACATGAAGTTCAAGAAAACCACACCGGAATATGTTTTCCATTGTCAGGTAAGGCGGAAGAAGCCGCCACTGTCAGGCCAGACGAAGCAGAGTTTACTACGTGGTGCATCTTCCCACTGTTTCTGTGAAGAGGTCGAGGTTAAAAATAGGGATTTTTTTGGAAAAAGTACAAGCGGCAGTCCAGTGTTTTTAGAAGGCAAGCAGCCTTCTCAGACAATGCTGAAAGCCTGTCGGGGCTGCGTGTCATTCTTTGTCTATTTAAAACAGCCCCTGGGAGATGGGGTTTATAGAGCCCGTGCACTTAAGAAGTAACTGTGGTGTACCACTTCCTCACCCAGGCAGCAACATATGCTTTCCCACCCACGTTAGCTCCCTCGCGTCCTCTGCGCTCCGAGCTGCCTCCCCTTGCCTTGGGTCTGCTCCGTGCCGCGTTCTGCCTTGGACACTGGGAACTGCACGTTGCATTTCTGGGCACGTGTCCTCCTTATGGCTGGATAAAACCAGCCTCGATGACAAGGACTACTCCACCAGTTGCTGTTTGACTGTCCCTTAGGTTAGCAAACCCGGCTTTCGCTGCTGCTTTGTGGCCCTACTATTTCAGCAGTTTATGGACCATTCAGGAACAGTTGGGTGTTTCATTTCTCTAGGTCTGTTTGCTCCTCTTTTGCCGCTGCTTTTGTGTGTGCCATGGCACGGCCTCGTGTTGACAGAAAGGTTCTGCTCGTGGGCTCTATCTCCATCAAACTGTCCGAACTGTGGAACAGGGCTTGGGCCAAATTTCCAACCTCTTCATTAATATCCTTCTGTGGTAATTAAACACAGGACAGTGGCATTCGAAAGCCATATGGAAAAGTTTCAGCAAGTAAAACTTAACAATCAGAGATTAGTAAAATGCAGATTATTCTGCGGTAAAAAATTGCTTCTCTTGGAAGGATATGTATTACCTGGCTAATTGTGTAAGCTCAGTGTCATTTTACATTCAAGGACCAAACATCTTTTTGAACTGAGTTTGTGTTTGGACTCGGGTACATTATCAGATGTAACATAGTGGGAGGGAGTTGCTGGAACTGAAGTTACTGCTTCAACCCGATTAAGTAACCTTTAATTCTGGGCATGTTTTTCTAATTTGCTATACCGAAAAACAACTTCACAAGGAGTCTAGGCCTGCCCAGCAAATATGCCGTACAGATTTATGTACATATATATATGTACGGCTCTGTGTGTGTGTGTGTATTACCTTTGAAATGAGAACTTGTATTTTTCTGGATATCATATTTGGCAGATTGACGTGTTCTTTCAGGCTGCACAAGGTCTTAGATCCCACGTTCAACTTCTTCTAGGACGTACGTGCGTGTTTTCAACAAAATATTCAAGAGAAGAGATTGTCCATTGCATTTTCAGGAATTACAATCCTTAAACTAGATTGATTTTGCAAGATAATAAGCTGTCTCAGGGCAGCCCTTCTGAGTACACAAAGGGGAGATTGACTGCAGACTTAACGCGCTCCGTTAATTAAAAATTCTATCCAGTTGTAGAAGTAGGTGCAGGTACCCTTAAGCAGGGGAGGTGTGACTCACTAAACTGAACGCATTGAGGCAGGCTATACTCTCCATGAGGAAAACACACACGGGACAGAGCAGTGGCCAGAGATTCAGCCTGGCTGAGCTTCTGTCTAATTCTCCCGTTAAGTCGGATGTTCCCCTTTTTAGAACCGGAACCTTAAACCCTGTGAGCTGCGAGGCACACGTGGCGTTGTGCTTTCACAGGCAGCCTGGGTTCATCGTCTTTCGGTTAAATGACATCAGTTCTTCATGAGAAATATTTATTGTCTTGGTCAAACTGTCCACAGATAATCTGAAGTCCATTAGGGGTTGGAACCGTGTTTGAACCACCATTATGGGGCTTCTGACACGTTGAATACCTTCTGCATCTCAGATCGGGTGGGGATGCCCACAGGAGATTAAATGGGGAAGCAAAAAGCGTGGGACTTGGTCTCTTGAACACGGGTTTTTTTCCGACTCAGATGGAAAATAAGAAAAAAAAATTATCTTAGCTCAGAGTCTGGAATTCAGTTCTGTAGATCATCATGTTATTCTGTTAGTGGAAACCAACTGTATTATTAGTCAGCCCCGTATCATTTATATTACCATTTTGCAAAAGAAATATTCCCTTATTCAGTCCCGATTTGGTCATTTCTCTGGGTCTTCTCTGAGACAGGCCCGATTTTTCTGCCGCAATACATGACCTTATGACAGCCCAGCCCAGCAGCTAGAGATGAGCACACACCTTGTCGTTACAGCTGGTTGCCCAGACATGACAAACACGGTACTTTGAGTGTATTTTCCCAATAGGCCTCTGTTTTCCTTTCCAGAGACTTTCTATAAAAACTTACTAAACAGGCTGTAAGACTCTAGTCGTAGTAAATACTGTGTGGTACTGACTAATATACCTTTTGCCTTTCAATTTTTGGGCCCAGGGAGCGAGATACAAGCCAGTAGAATCTCATTTCAGATGTGACTGTCGAGGAACTCAGGCAAGCCACTTCTGGGAAGCCAAATCAATGAATAGGTTTATGAAGCTGTTTCTGAGGAGCTTCTAAGAAATTCCACCTCGGGAGTTTGGGTAACATCAGAAATAGATCTAGAAATAGATAGGTGAAACACCTCTGGACAGCTAAATTGCTGGCTGAACTTCAGCAGGTAGCACTTTAGATGCCTCTTGTGTACATTCGTTAAATTCTTGGAGCTAGGAGCCATGAAGTTTTCTGGTTTTCCTGGTGAATTATACAGATTTAAGTGAGACGCTTGCCAAGGAGTTTCTTGATTTTCTTTACGTCTTTCTATGAGTTTTTTGTAATCTTACATAGGATCGTTGAAATTGCCATAGTCAGAGCAACAGGCTTTCCCAGTGCCTTTGCTGAAAGTTGCCAGAACCCAGGGGCTTCAAGTGAAGCTCTCTGTCAGCCGTGGCAGACGATGATGCGAAAATCTACCAGCAATGATGGTTTTTTCCTAACTCCAATCAGCAAAACGTTGGATTTCAGTCCTCAAATGTGAGGGATGATGTATTCTGTAAATGTTTATCTTGGCTGTTGTCACTAATGATCTTACTCTTAGGAAATTCTTGCCCAATTTAGAGTCCTGTTAGGCTGTTGGCTCATTATGACGGCGGAGGTGGGAGTCAATTTCACAGCTCTCCTGTATGTTGTGCTGCAAAGACTGGGTTCAATTTTAGTTAATATGCATTAAGGGAAAAATGACTGTCAGTCAAATGGACTTGTTTACTCATTAATTCACTTGAACTGCCATGTGAACTATCAAATCCTTTCTAAACAAAACAGTCCTACGGGCTTCTACTCTTTCCTTCTGCGGAATATTTCTTTTCTTCTATTGTTTTATTTTTACCTTTCTTTGGGTTTTTATATTTCTGTTTTACCCAGTGATGGGCTGGCTGTATTTTAGCTGGGACTCCCACAGATTTTTTCCTCTATAGCTCATCATACATCTCTTTACCACAAGGTCAGAAATGGGAAAACAAGGAAGAGTGAGGGATCGGGCAATTTGTTCATTTGTTTTCCTTTGCAAGCAAAAAAAAATGTTGTCTCCGGAGCAAAATCGGAGCGGAAGGGTGATATCATTTGCCAAAGGAATGAAGACTCGATGCTTCCCTTAGGTAGTGAGGAATAAGTTGAGCCTGCAGTTGATACTGCGGAGTGCAGACCGGGAGTGTCCTTGTAGGGAAGAGTCAGGGGTGGACATCTGCCCCCATGCTGGAGCATCACGAACTCTTAGTGCAATCCAGCGCATTCCAAAGGCAAACCCCAAGCCTTTCCGAAGTGCTTTGTGAGGCCCCGCGGATGAGTCACCCCTGGTTGGGTTGGTTTGGCAGTATCCAGCGAGGGAACGAATTCCAGCAAAGACATGGAAATCACATTGACTCTCCCTCGGGTTGGCCGGGGAATTTCAGGCGGTGGTTCACACTGCTTCTCTCAGCTGCTGCCGGTCTGCGTTTGGGGGGGGTGACGGGAACCAAAGCAGTGTGGCACGGATATCGCTGATAGGACTCGACACGAGCTCAATCCTGTATCGATTTACGCAACGCACGGGGCTGGCCTTGTATGTGAACGTTCCTGCGCTGTGGGTTGGCAGGGTGGCACCGATGGCACTTCTCAGTCTTACTCTCTTTCTTAGAAAGCGCTTATTTGTCCGTAATGTGTTTTTTCCCTGAACGAACGAACAAAAATCTACATTACCCGTTAATTATTTGTGATGCAGCGCCCATTGTTTCTGTACTACCGATCGTCTCTGCCCATGATGTTGTTTCTGTTCCCTGGTGGACGGATCTAAGCTTTCTGACCTGAAGAAGTATCTGAAACTTTGCACCATGGATCTAAGCTTTCTGAGCCAAAGTGACCTGAAGAAGTATCTGAAACTTTGCACCAACATACCCTGTTGAGTGAGGCAAATGAGAACTCAGGCTGTCTTTGCCCTAAAGTGACTAGCTGAAGCCTGAGCTGTCATACCCATCCTTTCAGCAGGGCCTGTTCCCGTGGATACAGCACTGCCCTTACACCAGATCTCAGAGCTTTTGGGTTAGAGCTGACCTACAGAGACGGAAGATCCAAGGGAAAGAAATAATCAGTGGGTCTAGTGGACGTCAGGATATTGCAAACCATTTCCTTTCTTCTGGAACTAAAGAGGGGTTATTAAAGTCGGTTGAGGTATCTGGACTTCAGCTTCAAACATCCATCACTTCGAGAGAGGAGGGGTGGGGGAAGACAGCTAAAGATATTAGTTTCGTGCCAATAAATGTTACTTTCTGATTTGGAGGACTCTGAGTTGCGTTTGGAAAGTTTGATGAATTCTGCTTTCCTGCACCCAGTCTAATGATAGCAGCAGCAGCAACAACAACAACAAATATTACTACATTGACTGCATTTTGATTTATTACCGATTATTTCCTGATCTATTCATTTCCCCTTTCTCAGCTGTGTCTTTTCCAAATGTCTCAAAAGCGCAGTGAGAAGTACAAGTCTGACACTTAAAAGC